CATAAACAACTACCACGTATGTCATTCATTGTACCATGTAGTCTGCGCATAACTGTTAGAGTGCATCGCTTAATGTACCTAATGATTTGATAATCTATCATTTCGTGTTAAGTAATAAAAATTTTTAAAATGTTCGAGTTCAACAGCACCTTCTTGCCAATGAGAGGTGAAATTCTTTTTCCTCGACATGGAGTGCTAAATCAAACCCAATAATTTTCACTTATTTATAAATGATCATTTTCTTTCCTGTACTAATTACATCATCTAATTTCACATCTTTTCCTTTCGGAATGTGTTTATTGGAATAAATTCCATTGTTCTATTAATGGAATGATAACATCCATTGTCACTTGTCGCGTTAATGTGAGTTTTTTAACATGTTGAACAATGAATGTTTTGCTTCCTAATTGTCTAATACTATTAAACGGACCTTCACATCTGATATCAAATTTGTTTCGAATGTCTCTTGTTTTTACTGAAACTAACAATGGAACTGTTTGTAATGTCAGTTGATTTGGTTAACTATATTTGGGTCAAATTAAACGTCTCACTGCCAAAGTAACAAATTTAATATATGACGGATGACGTGCTGACTTCTTTTTCAGATTATGCTGAAATTTTATTCGTGACATGCATACATTTTTTTATGATTTTTATACAAGTTGTGCAGACACTTGCGAAGGACAAGATGGCAATAACATACAGAGAACAGATATACAAGGAACAGAAAACGATCCAAACGAAATCGAAACAGTAATGACCAAATTTCAGTGTATTATTTGTTCTTCCTTTTGTCTATTCTTCCATTATTGTACATCTTGATACCACTCAGCCAAAATTTGCAACGGGAAAATGGTATAAAAATGATCGAAAATTTACATCATTAAAATGGCAAAAAACTGTCACAAATAACCCTGTAGAATGCTTTCTTGATAACGCATTAATATGATTAATTTAATGACGATAAAATGGTTCAATGTTTACAAAAAATAATGTATAGAAGTCAAACCATTTTAACTATTACAGGAGGTCCCAAGAGTCACTTTACACTTGATATTGTATTTAACATATATCTTCAATATGAAAATCTTAAATCTTATTCATATATATACTTGTACTCAGCAGTAAGATACATATAACCACTAATATTCTTGCTTTCGACAACAATAATTTCTTGAATAAAAATACAAATGTATCTTATTTACTTCAATATGATTGTAACAAAATTAAGTTGTTATGCTGATTCACTAAACTTTCTAGTTAACTAGAAAGTTTAGTGAATCAATATGACAACTAACTTTTGTTACAATCATACAGAAGTAAATAAGATACATGTGTATTTTTATTCAAGAAATTATTGTTGTCGAAAGCAAGAATATTAGTGGTTATATGTATCCTACTCCTGAGTACAAGTATATATATCAATAAGATTTAAGATCTTCATATTGAAGATATATGTTAAATACGATATCAAGTGTAAAGTGACTTTTAGGACACTCAATATGTAGATAAATGTTTTAAATGAAACTATAAAGAATCTATTTTGGAATTAAGAAACTAGAATATGGTGCAAGAAGTTGTGCGAGTGTTGGATAGATAAGATGAGAATTCTATGAAATACTTTAAATCATAAAGAATAGCATATTCTCATGTAAATAAACGACGCTTGCAAGTTTTTTTCAATTTAATTGAAATAAAGTTGTTAGTTAGATCTTATGTTTATGTCACACATATGAACGTGAAGATACTTAATGTATACCGAAGTGCCAGTAATTGACTACAGTAGTCGTCTAAAAAAGGAAAAGTATCTCATAAAATATTTCATCAGCGAACGAATGTTTAATCCATTTACTAAGTTTTCTAGATATTCATCTCGTCTTTTCATTTATGCACTTCTTCGTACAAGAGATATCGTACATATTTTACTCAGTGTATCCTCTATATAATGACTATTCGTATACTTTTCACTTATATCAACCTCTCATGTACGTTTTCTCGTCAACAGCCAGAATTTTATTAAAATAGACTTAAAACATGTCTCACTGTTTTATTCAAAACAGGATATGAAACAGATTTCTTTGTTTTGTAGCGAACTGCTATAATTTATCACTGACGTCTCCGTATCTGTTAGATATTATTAGTCGTCAACATAAAATTTAATTATAATATCTAATACTCAATATGGTTTCGAACAAATTGAAAACCTGGTTTCATGCTCATTGAAGTCAGAAACATATGAGAGAAGTAGACCGTACTAGTAAATTACACAAATAATTTATTTGAATGAAAAATTCTCAAACGCATAAATTGCTAGAAATTAGAGGATCGTTCTTTTTTATTACTATGACTTCGTTTATAGTGTAAAATGTCTTGAGTGTGTTGTGTGAGGAGACGACTAGCATGTTACAACTAGATCATCCATGTTTCAAATGAATCGAATTTCTGTTCTTTTTTCCTTTTCTATCTATCAGTGTTCTTTTCTTTGTTCCAAAACAAAAACGATCATTGACCAATAGAAATAAAGCAATCAGATAGTTTAGACATAGAGAAAACAGAACATTAAAACAGAAAAGAAAAAATATTGTTCAAATGATAGCACAAATATAAATATAAACAGATATATTAAAAATGCAATTATCTCAAAATGAAAATTTATTTGAATAAAAACTATGAATGCTGTGCTTCATTCATGAAACAAAATGTAAAAGACTAAAACTCCCAATTATTCATTCATCAATGGGATATACCTTCCTCCTAAACCATTGTTTTGAAGAAATTGTGACATGAAACGTAAGAACAACTTAATGAAAAAAACTACAGTTAAGTTGAAATNTGAAGTACAAAGAGAAATTGCAAAAGTATTGGGTACTGTGTTAGGAAGATAAAGATGATAGTGACTTTCAACTAGTGAAGGAGTCGTATGTAGATGTGGGTGAAGAGAAAATTCACGTTCATACTCACACTCTACCCTTCATGGAGCGCAATTCGTAAAAAATATCATTACTAAACATATTAGCTCATTCTATATTTATTGGGGCGAGAAAAAACTCCGTAGAAAAGTCTTGATCGCAGCAAGTTTTAACAAGAATGCAATCTATTGAGCATTTATGTCCAAACAAATCTAACTTATCAATGAAAGAAGACATTTGAACTACTGAGAGAGAATAATCATGTTATTAAAAGAAACAAGCGAAAGATTGTTTGAATAAAAGCGAAACGTCTCAACTCAGTTAGATAGATATAACATTTGAGTAAAAAATTAACTTAATAAAATGCAAGTTTCATGCAATATAGAAAGACATGGCCTGATAAATTGAGATATTGAAAGCTTTCCTAATTCAGAATGTGACTTTCTCCACTTTTTTGAAGCACTTGGTTTATTAGTTATAACCAAAACCTATCCTATATGAAATTTGATTCGAAAACTCCTATCAAATCATTACATTCCTACCAGGAATTGGTTAGAAAATATGCAGAACTAATCCAAAAGATGTCTAAAAAACCTTGTACATTATCAAAAGATAACCTTTTTCTTCGTTTATTCACGGGTCTCAATTCAAATAAAGTCATCTGTCATGCTATACGTGCCGATGGTGATTTTAGTGGTAAAGAATTACGTAATACTGTTTCGTGCATCACAATTGCTCTAGCTATCTACGATCTACAACTCCCCATACGTGTATGTTATACACGTGCAGAAGATATGAAATTGACCGGTCACCGTCACCCAGTTAAAATTATCAATAAAGTTGGTTTTCTCAACAGTGAAAAGTTAAAATCTCTCGATATTCGTCTCTATGGTAATGGTGGCTACTCGACGGATCCAAGTCAAATAATGATTGAACGTGCGACGTTACATTGTGATAACATTTATAAATGTGAAAATATGCGAGTGAGGGAACGAGTTTGCCGAACAAATCTACCGCGTAACACAGCAATGAGAGGATTAGGTTGTCCGCAAGATCTCTTAGCATCAGAATTGATTATGGACTAGATCTCCAGTTATCTACAATAAAATTGTGATTAATCAATTATACGTGAATTGAAGATTTATAAACCAGGTGGAAGAACATATTTTAATCAGATGATTGAAAGGAAGAATTGGCATGTACTAGGAATGTGGAGAAAATTAAAAAAACAGCACAATATTAACAGCGTTTGAGAGATGTTGAAGAATTTAATGAGAAAAATGAATCTCGAAAGCGAGGTTTGACTATGATTGGAACGAAATTTGGCATTGAAGCTACATCGGTATTGTTTTTTCATCAAGCTGGAGCATTAGTGAATATTTACAAAAATGGAAGTGTTTTAATTGCACATGGAGGTAAGTATCCATGCAAATCAGATTAAATTGTTGGAAATTGACATACGAGGAAACGTTTCCAACTGTATAATCGTCTATAAGCGGAAACCTAGTACCAATATATGTGAATAACAGTTGTATGGTTCAGTTTTGACACAAGACTCAAAACAAACAAGAAAAGCCAGTTTTATAAAGTGATTCCATGTGTTATTTTATCCAATCAGATTGAAAATTTTGATCTGTATGGACATTTTCAAGAATAAAAACTCGATTTACGCGTAAATTCACCTTTTTTTCTGCATTTTGTACAATTTTTGCAGAGAATATTTCCTTTTTTACATGATGTCTTTGTGAGTTTGATGTTAAAAATAGCAAAAGAATCTTGTTTTCCCTACGTAATAACCGTTCAAACGCAGAGAAAAATGAATTTTGGTCCCAAGTTGTTTAACTTTTTACAGAACATCTATATGTGTTAGTAAAATTTCGATACCTATTTTTTGGAATGACTTCTATATCAATATTTGAAGTCAGTACGCTCTATTGAGTAAGATACACTAATTACGGCGCAAAATTGTCATGCAACATTTGGCATACTTTCCGCGTGAGCGCTTTTCAATTGACCTTAGGCTTCCAATAAACAGGATGTGAGCGTTTCTACTTTTAAAATTTATTATTTTTTTCAGTTGAATCGTCGAGTTTGCAATAAAAAATTATGACATTAGACTCCAATGACAACAAAATCATCGATCCTATCAAAATATTAATCCTTTATGAGAATGTTCGAAAATGATAACAAGTTGCTGCAGTTTTTCATTTTAAGTTTGGGCGTGTCAATATCTTTACCTGATAGTTATAAAACGAAAAACAACTGTCCTCACTCTTAAAAACATCAAACAGCTAGTCATGCTATTTGTAATATTGGGATCAAAAGCATTACCCAAAACTTAGCTAGTTACCAATTTTTCTCTATATCTAATCTTGTTATAGAGATAATTTCACTTCTCTTTCAGGCGTTGGAATTGATTAAGGTGTTCAACTGAAAATGTTGCCAATTACAGCTGAACAACTTGGTATTGATATCTCTCTCATTCGTCTACCTGAAACTGCAAGAGATAAAATATCAAACATAACGCCAATAGTTGGATCCCTATCATCAAATCTCTACAGTCCAGCCTTAATCTATGCTTGTCAACAACTCAGAAAAAAGCTCGTACCATTAAAATTCAAACATCCAACCTTGACATGGCGAATACTTATTGAACAAGCATACTATGAACGTATACCATTATTTGCAAATGGACTTTTATTTTGTAGCAGAGAACCTTCTGAATCATAATGTTGAAAATAATGATGTTCATTTTATGTATTTTACACAAGGAGTTGGGATGAGTGAAGTTGAAATTAAGTGTTGAACAGGAGATTTTCAGTTTTTGGAAACAGATATTCTAGTGGATCTCGAAAAATCATTGAATCCGTTGATTGATATTGGACATATTGAAGGTAAAGAAAAACCTGTTTCAATTTTTACAAGAGTTTACCAGCGTAAGACCAAGTAAACGTTTTAAATGCGATATTCCTTCCTTTGCTTTTTTTTGTTCTGTAAAAACGTTATGAAACTGAAAAAAACACTAACGTGCTAAAACTGATAATTCTAAATATCTATTCCTCTCTTTATACTTTGTGAAAGTTAACTCAAAGGTCGTGCGTTATCACAAAGAGTGAAATCCTGCTTTGAACTTTATTCTTTTCTCTCCACTACAGGGAAATGTACTACCTCTGATATCCTTTCACAAAATAGATCGTTTAGCACACGTTTGTCCACAGAGCTTATATGGTTGTTGAGTAATGTCTTAAGCAAACAAAAATATATGCTTTAGAATTTTTTTTTAGATTTATCAAGGCATACAAAAACGTCTTCTTCGAAATTTATGCAAGGAACACCGATAGACATGCATTCGTTCCTATTGTAACAGACGGAAACAAGAATAATAACACACAGGAACAGAGTATCAGATATGTAAAACTTTAGTTTTTTCATAAAGAACTTCTCACTCCACTTGGAAAAAAAGTTTTTTCAGTAAAACAACAAGAAACAATGATTTTCATGTAATATTTCATTTTTCACCGTGAACAAATCTTTTCTAAAAATGCAAGCAACAGAAAATTTTGTGAAATCAAAATTTCTACAAAATAGTCTCTAAAACATAACTAAAAAAAGGCTTTGTTAATAAGAAAAACTATTTCTTTAGACTGATTTTCCGTTTTGCGTCTTGAAAAAAAAGCTTTTTTTCGGGTGCTACTGAAGAAAAACAAATGTTTGTTCCAGCTGAGTCAAGCTACTCTTTTATAGAAAACTTTTTCCAGAGCAACAGGTGTATGCCTACTGGCTGATAATCACATTTCTGCTTTTAATTCACAATAATTGGTTCTGAGTGAAATGGTTGAAGATTTCTGCGATGATGCTACACGAACTGCGACAGGAAGTCACTCAGTTCTGTGTGATTATCTATTTTGAAGCAATGGTAAAAAAGAAACTTGACGGTTGCATGACATCTCTGGGCCAGGAACTACATGAAACAGTTACGGAAGCATTGAATAATAGTGCTCTAGCTCCTATTCAAAAATATTTTTCTTTGAAAGGACATTGTTACAGTGATGTCGTACGTTAACATATTCACTATCTTCTTATTATCCTCTATCCACTTTCATCTCTAATTGGTCCCACTCCTTTTCGTTCTTCATATACCTATTATATATGTTTTCGTTTGTTTTCCATTTCTTACATAAAAGTTCGTGCACATACATCAGCACATAACATCTAAACTAAATATTTATATATAAACAAAGGAAAGGAAGAACGAAACGCTAACAGACATACACGCATTTTTGTGTTTGTATTTAGTGGAAATATCTTTAAATTATAAATTTAAACTGCAGAATTCCTTCCTCTCTTTGCAGGCGCATTTATACAAGGTGTTGGCTATCTTACTCTTGCCGATGCTGATTCAAACAAATATAAAATATCAATGGCAAATGATATACCAATTGATTTTCGTATTACATTTTTAAATGCACACGAATCAAATGAACATGTTGTTTATTATTCATCAAAAGCTGTTGGCGAACCATCTTTATTTCTATCAGCAATTGTACTTTTTTGCTATAAAACATGCAAACTCAGCTTATCGTCGAGGAAATGAGCCATTTACATTAAATATACCAGCAACATTTGAATGAATTAGGATGGGATTTAGAAATCAAATTGTAGATTCAGTGATTCCAGAAGAGGAAGACAAAGAATTTCAACCGTATGATTGTTTTTAATGTTTTTTAAATCATAATCAAGCAGACTTTTTTTTATTTTGTGATCAAGAAGTTATTTCAGCATGATTTTTTAAAATTCGAAACACGTTCATTTTACTTTTATTAGAGCCTTTTTAAACTATAAAATTTTTATTAGAATGAAAATTGATAAAGTTCAAAAAAATATGTAGGTGTAGGTATTGGTGAAAAGAAGATCGGCACGCACATCCATATCTACATCACACTCAAATCCTGACACATTGGTGTTTCTTTTTCGATTGCAAGAAAACTTAAATAATGAGTTTTGAAAAGTAGAGTTTGATACCTGATTAACTCCTCGACTACAGAATTGTTCAGCAGAATACAAAGACATCTATGCCGCCTGACTGAGCTTGATGAGTTTTGGATTTTGAATAGTGCGAATTAGAATTCTGTTAAAACTCTGCCGAAGCTTTTCAATCGTCAAGAAAATGCTGAATGATGGAGGATATATTTGACCATGTAAATGCGCTCGAATGTTAGCGCTCGTTCCACCCCTTTGGATATGTTTCAAGGTATTTTATCGACAGTTGTCCTTAAGTGTTTCTTGAATTCTGAACTTTACAAGTTCGTTCAGCTAATGCAAAGCAAATGATTTTTAAATAAGATTCTTATTAAATCGAGTATATAATGCATAAAAACAAAGATTATATCAATATGTTTCAGCTGAGTTATGTCTTTTTCGCAAGGTTTCACTGGATATGATCAGAACTATATATTTTTTCCCAAGAGAAACCTCTATCAGAATTACTTGTTAGATAACTTCATCAAGTTCACGTAGATTGGTATCGCTTATAGTGCTGAATCAGTTCTTGTTGATGACGACTATGATAACGTTCTGAACTGGAAGTCGTCGTCGATGCATAGGCACCTCGTTTGGTTACATGACACCTATAGGAAGTGTACTGTGTCAAATGATATTCTTGTTCCGATGAAAAAGAATATTCAAGATCTTGGATCACCCAGCCAAAATTTGCAACCGAAAAGTGGCATTAAAATAATCAAAAATTTACATCATTAAAATAGCAAAAACCTGTCACAAATAACCCTGAAAAATGCTTTTTTGATGAGGCCTTAAACTGATTAATTTAATGAATATAAAATGATTCAACGTTTACAAAAAATAATGCATAGGAGTCAAACCATTTTTAGGCATTACAGGGTGTCCCAAAGGTCACTTTACACTTGGTAGTGTATTTAACATATATCTTCAATACGAAGACCTTACATCTTATTCATATATACACTTGTGCTCAGGAGTAAAATACATACAACCACTAATATTCTTGCTTCCAACAGCAATAATTTCTCGAATAAAAATACAAATGTATCTTATTTGCTTCTGTATGCTTGTAACAAAATTTAGTTCCCATGCTGTTTCACTAAGCTTTCTAGTTAACTAGAAAGCTTAGTGAATCAGCATGACAACTTAATTTTGTTAGAATCATACAGAAGTAAATACGATACATTTGTATTTTTATTCGAGAAATTATTGCTGTCGAAAGCAAGAATATTAGTGGTTATTTGCATCTTACTTCTGAGTACAAGTGTATATATGATAAATACAATACCAAGTGTAAAGTGACTTTTAGAACACCCTGTATATAGATCAATAAATGATTTAAATGAAACTACAAAGAATCTATTTTGGAATTAAGAAACTAGAATATGATGCAAAAAGTTATGCGATTGTGTTGGATAGACAAGGTGAAAATTCTAGGAAATACTTTAAATCATAAAGAATAGCATATTCTCATCTAAATAAACGGTGCGTGTAGGTTTTTTCAATTTAATTGAAACAACATTGTCAGCTAGATCTTATGTTTATGTCACACATATGAACGTGAAGATACTTAATGTATACCAAAATGTCAGTAATTGACTACAGTAGTCGTCTAAAAAAAGGAGAAATATCTCATGAAATATTTCATCAGTAAACGAACGATTAATATATGTACTAAGTTTTCTAAATATTCAACTTGTCTTTTCATCTATTCACTTCTTCGTACAAGAGAAATCGTACAATAATTTACTCATTGTATCCTCTATATAATGACTATTCGTATACTTTTTCACTTATATCAACCGCTCATGTATATTACTCGTCAACAGGCAGAATTTTATTAAAAACAGGATATGAAACAGATTTCTTTCTTTTGTAGCGAACTGCTATAATTTATGACTGACGTCTTCGTATGTGTTAGACATTATTAGTCGTCAACATAAAATTTAATTATAAGATCCAATACTCAATGTTGTTTCGAATAAATTGAAAAAACCTGATATCATGCTCATTTAACTCAGAGACATGAGAGAAGAAGTAGTCCGTACTAGTAAACTACACAAATAATTTATTTGAATGAAAAATTCTCAAACGTGTGAATAGCTCGAAATCAGAGGATCGTTGTTTTTATTATTATTATTTCGTTTATAGTGCAAAATATTTTGAGTGTGTTATACAGAGAGACGACTGGCATGTTACGACTAGATCATCCATGTTTCAAATGAATCGAATTCATGTTCTTCTTTTCTTTTCTATCAATGTTCTTTTCTTTGTTCCAAGACAAAAACGATCAATGACCAATAGAAATAAACGCATCAGATAATTTAGACATCGAGAAAACAGAACATTAAAATAGAAAGGAAAAATAATGTTCAAATGATCGCATAACTATAAATATGAACAGATATATTAATAATTGCATAGATGAAAACGATGATAAAAATGCAACTATCTCAAAATGAAAATTTATTCGGAATAAAAACTATGAATGTTGTGCTTCATTCATAAAACAAAATGTAAAAGACTAAAACTCCCGATTATTCGTTCATTAATGGGATATACTTTGCTCTCGAATCATTGTTTTGAAGAAATTGTGACATGAAACTTGATAGCAACTTAATGAAAAAAACTACAGTTCAATTGAAATGTTAATCTAACAAATAATAATGATTTCTTTATGCAGAATTATAAGTGAGCATAGACATTTAGGT